GGGGGGGGTTAGGTTAAGCACAGTGGACAAAGTAGAGGACTTTCAGGTCGCGACAGCATAAGCCATGGGGTGACAGGAGAAGCGGAGGCAAGGGCGTCACCACGGCAATCCATCGTACGGATCACGTGCTTGCTGCCTAGCAACACTCCTTCTAACTCTAATCGATGCATCGAGACCTCCTCTACAAGCGTAAGTTCCAACCATTTTGGAGTCACCCTTCGGTTCCTTTCTTATTTTCGCTCACCACTCTTTCTCGGTCGTACCGTACTTTCCTTCAACATCCGAGGGTGGACGTTTTCGTGAAAAGGTTGAGGTGTAAGAGCCTAGCTCCACCGGATATGTGGTCAATGAGAACAAGGGGTGCAGTCCTATCGCACAGTCCACAGCTAAGTTGTAAGCTTGCAGGAACGACATGGAGAGACGAGACGACGAGAGCAATCGTACAGGTCGAGGAGGGGAGCTCAGAAGAGGGCATTCAAGGAGAAGTCACCACGACCAGCAGCCTCGGGTCTATGCCCGCTTCCATCGCTCCGAGATGACACCACTATTCTGTTATTCTGCGTTGGTGATAAAGATTAGAACCTCTGCCTGCTGTGCCGTAGAACGGTATTACATGCTTTTCTATACAGTTGGAAAGAAAGTCCTGCAACACTTTTTCAAATTTTTGATTTTAATTTTATCTTTTTTGTTTACAACTCCTGACCGGTCTATATCTACCATGAGTGTCCACTTGTCTTCAACGCTCAGAAAATTTCTTGATGCTCCTTTGCCAAAACCCAGCGGAGTGCGGGTCGAGAAAGGAGGCGACCTCACTTCGAGTTGGAGTTGATCGTCTAATTATTTCGTCATCAAGATAATGATTTAGGGGTCAGGATAGGTGGCAGTCACTCACAGCCCTACCAGGGGAAAACGCTAAGAGAGGTAAGAAATCTAGCCGCAGCTCAAGAATTTCTTATCGGGCTCATTTCGGATCAAAGTGATTCGCAATGTCATGAAAGAAATAAATATTGTCGCGGTACGAGGGCTCCTGAGCGAGCTGCCTCGGCCAGCTTCTGGAGTTTCGCAGCATAGACCTCTACCTACACAATGGTGCCCATAACGAAGAATTTGTAAATGAGCTTCCGTAGGAGCCCTTCCTGTAATGGAGTGTGTAGGACGCTGCTGGCCTCTTATGAAAATATCATAAGATCGAAAGCGCTGATAAAGCTGAAACACGCTGTAGCGGTAAACGACATGCCCATTGAAGCTATTGCAGTTAGTGTTGGCTGAGCACGAATCCATAGTTATGCAGATGTACCAGACAGTGACTCGGAGTAGGGAATTACTAGTGGCCGGGGTTTTTCGAAATTTCTTTCACAAGTTTGCTCTCCCTTGTAAGGCTTATCATTTATTTACATTCACCATTATTTAGAACCCAGAAAGAATTGAGCGGTTCTAATGAGTTTGGGCTTTCTTGATAGAAATGAAAGTTATCATTTGATGAAGACTCGGACTGAGTCGATTGCTATTAAGTAGGCTGGTCATACAATGATACAGTGTGCGTACCACTACAAATAGAATTTGTAAGTATGGGACGCTCTAGTGTGTCAACGCAAGCTGCGTAACGGAATTGACGACTTTTGCGTTCTGACGCCCCTTATCACCCCTTATCAGTTGCAATCACTTTCAATCACCCACCAACAATGTCCCCGTCCCACCCCACATGACACTTGCGAGTATGGACGCTCTAGTGTCAACTGGAGTTACTTGACAGAATTGACGACTTTTGCGTTCTAGCGCATCTTATCAGCCATTATCAGTTGCTATCGCTTCCAATCATGTACCACCAATGTCCCGGGACCGCCCACATAACACTTGGTTGGCATAGCTGTATAGTAGGATACATAGTCCGAAGGGATAAATGCCTGGGTATTGCCAGAGGAGGTCTGAAACATCTTCCTCATACATACACGTTGGCGACCTCGGCATAGTATATTGTGTGTGAAATCTGGCATGCAAACATCCTAGTTACTTGGAAAACAGTCACTATAATTGTTATCAACCAAAGTTATGAACGCTGTCAAAAATCAGTTTCTGGTGGTGACTATTTGAAAACAATTACAATAAGCGCTTGACTTCCTCTCCAACCTAATTACAGAATCGGAATACGCCTCGACAAAAGACAATATACATCCAGAATCTTCTTAATCGACGACTGCCAATTTTTTGATATGTGGTGAAAAATCAGAGTGCAGCAGCTGCTACGGCAGGGATCAGTGGGCAAGGGTAAAGCGCTACGCTTGAAAACTTTTTGAAGCCTTGGGCAGGCACAAGGGTAACAGTCCTTCAGGCTGATCCAGACACAGGGTCGTATTCAGGTCATGAAGATAGCGTGGTCGCAATGGTCAGCGGCTGAAATCGTGGCGGCCACCTATGGAAACAAGCCTAGAGTGGATGACTGGACGCGGCAGTCACGGCTCTCGCGCAAGAGCTCGCAATGTTTCTCTGAACATCGCGAAAGAAAGACATGATGTGAAACTATCTTAAATTATTCTATTCGAATACAACGCTCAAAGCAAAGCTCTGGCTAGATTTGAAACCTACGAGACTTGCTTCCAGAAGCATATTGAACTTTTCTCAAATGCGGTGAAAGGCTAAGCAAAAAGGTAAATTGATTTAGAAAATCCAAGTTTTCCCTCTTAAAAAGCAGTGTGATCTTAACGTTCACTTCTGTGATAAATCGCCGGTCTGACTTTGTTACGTGCAAACCAAATTTTTTGGCTTCTAGGGATCGTACTTCTCTTCAAAATTGTGAGTACTCAAGTGAATCAAATGACAACCGACCATAACGGGGTTTTATTGGGTAGTACCTTTGAAAACGAGAGCTTTCGAGCTTCCATTTGACTTTTTGCAACAACTTTTTTGACAATTTTTTAGTGGATAAGAGTAGGTATTACATGAAGCGACATAACTTTGATCTTCATAAGCTTGTCGATATAGAGCGTATTACATGAAGCCGACATACTTGGATCTTCATAAGCGGGCGCCCAAAGATTACGGTGCGGGCCATCCTTCTAAACCATAAGGCCTACGCCCAAGGAGAGACAGGTAACATTAAGCAAAATGAAACTGGTATTGGGATTTTCCTCTTCCACCTTTGTCGCGTTTTTGACAAAAAATGAGATCTTTACGCAGCTCGAAATGCACTGCCATCTCAACGTCCCCGTATCTTGCGATAGCGCCGCATTGAATTTTCTGAACTAACGATGACAAGACTTCTTCTGACTCTCAATGGATCAATACCTAAACCATTGCACTTCCCTGTTCGGTACACAAAGATAAAAATTCTCATGCACGCAATTTCCGCGTGACACAAAATCAGAATGAGGACATGACGAAAACTTCGGCTATGTAGTGGGCCTTGCATTTCTTCAGGGTCCACTGTCGTGAAGATTTCTTGGAAGTATATGGTGTCCCATAAATAGTGCACCGCGTTTCACAGCTTGCAACTTCTCCCAAATGCATGTACTTTCGTGTGGTCGCACACACTTTTGACCAGACATATACGAAGTTATTACGCTCACATTTATATATACCAGATTAGTCCCCCGTCAACCGCCGGGACCTTCCTTTCCTGCGCAAGCTTTCTATCCTCCGCTATGGTCCCTTCCTCCTGTGACACCAACACCTCCTGGAAGTGACGCGTATGCAACACAATGGTGTTTCAAACAGTAGAAGGGACACAAGGGTAGACAGGGACAGCAGAGTCATGAGGAGGGCCAGTGTAGAAGGATTTTCGCTTCCGGTTCCCTTCCTCATCCTCCCTTCCTCTCTCCACTGCCCTCCAGCTGCTGCCACTGCAGCACCATGTGGAATGAACGGAAGTGTGCTAAGCAGGTGTTTATATAGCCCTAAGAGTGTTATCACAACTATCCTGCTACAAAACATTGATATCTCAAATCCTGTAAGCTACCCGATTTGTTAGCGGTTTGTTTATCCCATGAGCTTCCTTCTCACTCACTTCATTTTGCGGACGGACACACATACATACACACACACACACACACACACTCACACACACACACACATACAGATACACAAACCGACACACAAAGTTAGCGCTTTATATATATAGTAAGGATATCATCCCCCCTCCCCCTCCGGGGTCGCTGCGAGTACGACTTCAACCGCCTCAACACAACTATACTGTGATCCGCGCGGTTTGCAGCGTAACTTCTTCTACTTTGCACAGAAAAGGGCTCATCTCCATATTTAGATGCTTTTTTAGTTCAGGTTCTGTCCCATAGCACAGCCCACATGGCATGGTTCTGCACGTCGAATTAAGGGATAGCCATAAATTTTAGGATGTGAAATCGGAAAGAGGCATGGCACCATTTCTAAACAATTTTCTCCTCCTCTGCAAAGGCTATACTCCCTTTGAAGAAGAAACGAGGAGAGCGGCGAGTGCAGACTATATGCATACTACAGGCGACGACGGCCTCCACAAAATGTAAATGTTTTCTGCCAATGAAATGATTAGGTCTGTTGCAGTTGTATTATATTAGTTGTCACCTATTATAAATATCATTTAGCAGAAATCAGCTATCACTATGAACCAGGTTTACTTGGAGGCCGACACTTGTGGTGTACGGTCTATACCCGACGCTCTTCTCGTTTTTTGGAAGGGAAGGTTCATCCTATTGTGAAGAACATCACTCCTTCTCGAAGTGGCTAGATGAGGAATGAAAATGCAATGCTTTTTTCCACTATTTTTCTTCATCTATTCCATTTTTCTGTAATGAATGCTTGAATCGATAATGAGCTACAAGCCGATTTTCTGACGGGTACTTCACTGAGCAAGCCTGTCAGGTTCCGGAACACATGAAATATTTGAAACTGACGCGGACTCGAAAATATTTATCCATGTATTGTCGTGATACACCACACACGGATGTAACAACAATACTATCGTTTACTTGAAATTGAGAAAATTTCAATCGGAAAAAACTGTCTGGAATCAATCACGCCTTCTTCATGCGAGTCGTTGTCATTCGGTAGATGATTGAGTCTTTACTTGGATCCATGCTCATCATTCCAACAACGGTATACAAGACAGCCTATAACCATTATTGAGTGTGCGTGTAGATTTTTTGGCAAAAGACAAGCCACATTTGATTCGCATAAACAAAAGCGTAATAAGCAGGAACGTGAAAACTCTAATCGTAAGCCAATTTCTAGGGATTCTCGAGGACCAAAAATTTTCGTAATATGCTCTACCCATACTCGCATCATGGCTAAGTTGAATGACTCTAGGGAAGAAAAAAACGAGAAAGTATTGAGAACGTTCAAATGCGCTAAGCCAACTTAACGTACGAGATGAATATCTCCACGAGCAGACTATGTACTACATATTCTGAATGCACATCATCGATTGCATGAATCAGCACAATCTTCTTTGGTGATACTAGCGGTTGATCTGCTTCTAAAGCATCTTACGTATAACTGGCATCGCATGTTAAGAATGAATGACCTATACTGCGTTGCCTTTCCCACTATTATAAGTTTGCATCCCCAGCAGCGGATGTGCGATAGCGACACGCATTCCCACTCTACTAGGAGAATTTGTCACGAAATGTCACGGCCCAATAAGTTCATTTATTTAACAATACCTTTGTAGAGTTGATAAATGTCTTTCCGTTTGATGAAGTACAGTACTCTGTCTTACTCACCAGCACTAAGGCAATGATTAATCCAGCGAAGATAGCAAATATGGCAGGATAGTCAGTCGACGTGAAGACATACACATTTAGTTGTTCACGCCAAGTCTTCAGATTTTTATCCGCGTCAGGCACATCTCCAGCCTACGATAGAAAAGATAATGTAACTAGGAACCCAAAAACTCAGATAACAAAAAAATTTTTAATCTTACTCTCTTTTTCCTTATCAGTAATTGTTCCTCGTGATGGTTCGACGGCTTTACTGCTTCGGAAATGGCCACAACTTCAACAATGGCCTGATCTCCGTATGCGGTTTTCAATGCTTGTGTGAGCTTAAAAAAGACACATTCTTGGATTATGAGGACTCCTTAGTTTCAAAGTCCCAAAAGCAAATATTCGAAGAGTTGATAACTTGAATTCTGTACTATCCCCCTTCCCCAAAGGAGTCGAAGTATCCACATATTATTGGGAAAAAACTGCTAGGAATTGTTTTCTACCTTCTGAGACTTAACGGCTTTAAAGGCGTCTTTGAAAGGCATAAATAGTTACAGGTACCTTGTTGACTGCGTTCTGCACGTCCTTTACTGCAACCTCACGATCCTCGGCAGTAAGTGTTTTTTCAGCCAAACCACTTATCGTCACTCGGTAGATATCAGCCGCATTAGATTTATCGAATTTTGGACCTTGGGAAGCAATAGCGGCAGCCAGGCGATGAACATGTTCAAGTTCTTGACGCAAAAGTGGCAGTTTCGTCTTGATTATTTCGTCTTTGATCTGAATACACTTTTTGAATAATAAAGCGACGAGCAAATATATGACGCTTCGTCCATCCAACCAAACGGACAAAGAACAAGGAATAGGAAGAAAAAGCTGTCACCTCTTGCTTGGCGGCGATCTTTGCGATTTCAGATCCACTGCTACCATCACGGTTTACTGTTAACAGTCTCGCGATCAACTCCAAATAAATTCGCCAGCTCCTCGTCAAGAGAAGATGGATCGAATTTGTCCTGAGATTGTCCGAAATGTAAAACACAAAGCTTTTAGCGATTCGTAACAGTAAGGTACTAACATTCTCAAGTTGATAGGTTGGGTGACTTTTGCTGTATAAAGAGTCGATTCCGTCAATACGAACGACTGCGATAGCTCGTGGACGCGAAAACAGATCGCTTTTGACATCAAAACCTGAACAAGCATTGAAGAAAAAGGAAAGGTATTTTTGGTATGGCAACACGCATCCTAACTACCCAACCACCGTCTGCGCGGAAGTGAAAATCGTGCAAATTCACACTGCAGCGTGCCGCAGCCCCCTTCAATATTGGACGACATTTTATTGAACTTGCTGTTATGGAAATGCGACGTAGTGCGGCTAATCACAGCAACCCAGGTGACGAGCCAATGATACTCACTCAGGCAACGCAAACCTGTGTCGGTGAGACCATTTTGATACTTTGCACTGGCGCGAGTGGAATGGGTTGAAAGTTGAAAAAGCACCAATTAGAAAGTAGAATAGTGCATGATGTTAGCGCGCAGTAAGGGAGTTGAGTGAAAATAAGTGCCTTTTTACGCACATCGTGAGTGTGGTTGGCTAGAACCTTGAAGTTAGTTTTTTGCTTTTACAGCGCATAGCTTTTTCGCTGAGGGAACCCAGACCCTCCTCGCCCATGAGTCTCCTAAATTTCCCCAGCGAAAAGGTTTGGCGTTGCAAAACACGAAAAAGTCTCTGTGACCTAGCCATCCACACCCATTACATGCAGGCGTAAAAAATGTCAGCAGCCTGATGCGGCATAGACGAACCGTGACTCCTATCTTACTCGTAAAACAACTTCCCCTTTTTCCGTGTACATACACTGTGAAAATTTCAAAAGACTTGCCTTGACACTGCACCGTATTTACTACCTGTTAAAAAAAAGTCAACATAAACTCACCTTGAACGGGTTTTGTCGAAAGTCCGAGGAGATTTTCGTTAAGCTGCGGTAAATTGCTCAGGCGGAGCTCTCCCACTGTCGACGGAGATGGGATACTGAGTGACTTTGGCAGTGCTACGAACTCAAGCACCGAAGCCGAGCAAACTGGAAATGTACATATTTGTTTGTATTGGTGGACAGGTCCTCTCAATGAGACCGAAAAAAATTAAGTAAATGTGCATGTTACTACAAAGGACC